TTGGAAACCGATCGATAGATTTTTTTAAATTGACATTCTCGAGATTTAAATCTTGATTTCACATAACCTTTAAGTTTCAAGATGATTGCAAACGATGATGATCATGATCAATGATGGTGATGATGATGTTAAACAAGTCAGTAATGTTTCTTCTATTTCTTCTTACTTTAGGAAATATCACGATCTCTGGAAGTCACTTCTTGAATTTACGCTTTTCAGAAATACAAAAAAAAAGACATGAAAAATTTTCTCTTTCTTTTCTATTTCGATCTTTTCAAAGTTGACCTGTCGCCCTGCTTTCAGTTACACATGAGTTTTCATCAGCTTGTCGTACTTTCGATATGGTTCAGCAAACCGTTTTCCTCCAATTTGTTATCGTATCAAGCCATAGTTCGGCAACTTGCATGCCTGCGTAAATTCTAGTTCTATAATTTGCCGGTTTACTTTCCCAAGCAAAATATGGTTGAACGGTTAATCGACACGAATAAACTTTCATTTCTGTACCTATTCTCCCCTTGGGTCTTGGTGAATAAACGATGTCTTGAATTTTCTGGACATCAATCTTACTGCTGCCGATTACAATCATTAATACACCCTCTCTATCCTGTTTCCCGTTTTATAGTCATTATGGTTGCAGAAGTACAGTACATTGTTACTAATATGCTGTCGATGGCATGTGACAAATTTGGCTGTTTCAGTCAGATAATATATACTTTTTCCTACATGGGTTTTGTTTGAATTTAATAAACGTTGTTGCATAATCAGGCAGAAAAAATTGCAGTAGGTCTAATCAAACTGAGCTATTCTTGTCTCACTCGATTTCCTGAAAGAAAATCCCCTCTTTATTTATATTCAAATCTGCAGATGACTGAACCATCTTTTTCCCATTTGAGATGCATGTTTTAAGCCCATGCAGAAGAAGAAGAAGAAGAAGAGGAAGAAGAGAGACAAGAGAAGACAAAATAAAAGAAAGATGTGCACGAAGAAAAGACAAGACAATTAAAATAAATTAGAGTTAGTGTGCAGCTGACAATTTCTTGGAATTTCCTGGCCTAGGATAATTGTTATTTTAATTTAATATTATTTAGTTGTTTTGATAGTCCCCCTTTTCAGTTACGAATGAAATGGCCACCGAAAATAGAAATC